AAGTTTGACTCTTTTAAAAACAGGTTGGAACCTACATCCAATTCTTCTGCAAATAATACATTCAAAAGTAAAAGTGTTTCCATCAATGCAAACTTATTTTTAGTTAGGTTTATACAGTGTAATGAATGGCAATTAATTAAAAAATACTAGAAGTAAATGTTTCCAAATTTTTCCCTATCGCCTGTCAAATTCAAGAGGCAAAATCCAAAGATCTGGAAAGAGGCTAGGTCATTCTCATCATAATAAAACTTAGCTTACTGTGATGTTGGTGCTTTTATACATGACTATCTATACCAGAAATCTGTTATCACTTAAATATTCTGATTCCGCTGCAGATACTGTGGAAATACTAAATGCTTTAAAGTTAGTTCTCAACTTACGACCACAATTGACCCCCAAATTTTTGTTGCTAGGTGAGACAGTTGTTAAGTGAGTTTTGCCCCATGTTATGACTTTTCTTGCACAGTTGTTAAATGAATCAATGTAGTTGTTATGTTAATAACACCGTTGTAAAGTGAACCTGGCATCCCTGTTAATTTGCTTGTCAGAGGGTCACAACAGGTGATCACAAGACCCGGGGACATAACAACCATTATAAATATGAACCAATTTCCAAGCATCTGAATTTTGAACATGTGACTGTGGGGATGCTACAACGATCATAGTAACTTTTTTCAGTGCCGTTGTAACTTTGAATGATCACTAAACAAATGGTTGTAAGTTGAGGATTATCTGTAATAACCTGTTGTAAGTTAGCCAAAAGTATTAACTTTGTGGTGGCATTCACACACACACACACACACACACACACACACACAAAATGTTTAGATCAGTATCATTAATCACTGAATTCAGTAGCGGTTGAATTCTGAATAAAAATGCACAAGATATAGTTATATAACAAGTTCAACACACACATAAAAGTGAGTTCTTTTGAAAGGGATGAATCCAACTCCAGATTTTACAGTGATATATTGTAATATGCATGTTTTCTTAAAAGTGAGAGCCATTAAGTTTTTTTTTTAAATGGCTGGTTTAAAAGTATTACTTACCCATCTTTGAGCCAGCAAAAAAAAAAATTATACTAGCACAAAATACGATGTCCCCACTGACAGAGCTTATCCTGAGTCCCGCAAGGAGAGTCCCGCAAGGGAGAAGGGCGGTATATAAATCAAATAAATTTGAATTTGAATTTATAGATACAAAGCTGGAAAATGATTCTATCCAGATTATGTTACGGGTTGGTAGACCCTCCGGCTTTGTTTCCCTCACCTCCTACTGCATCTTCCACCATATCACCAATAGGCATAGTGGCCATCAATTATTCTCCTTACTGTACATTGGGATAGGAAAGAGCCTGAGGAGGCAACAATGGCTGGATAGATATATTTAGCAATTCGTCAAAACTCACTCTGGTTTTGCCTATTTGCTCTATAAGTGAATTCAAAATGAGCCTGAGAATTGTCTGCTAGGCTCTTTTTGGACATAAGTTTAGCATTCTTATAGAATAGTACTATTCCAGACTACTTCTAAACCCATAATGGGCTGCCAGACTCCTAGACATAGTTTGAGAACTGCTCCAAAGAAAATTAAACCCATATTTAAAAGCAGCCTGAACTACAGCTAACAGGTGTGGGAAAAGAAGCAGAGAGACAGCTCTCTCTTGCCACTATGCAGCTGTTCCACCACTACTGTCGGTCAGCTGTTATTCAAACTAATCCAGGACTTTGATCCGGGGAGACCCCCGTTTGGAAAACAAAATGGGTTAGCCTGTTGCCTAGAACAAAATGGCCCTAGAAGACAGAATGCAAAGACTGAAGGGAGAATGGTGTGCCCATACCAGCTTCAATTGCTGATACATGGTGAGTTTACTCCCTTTCTTGGGTCACCTTGGTCAGTAAAGTGCATCTGTGATAAATCTTTTTAGGATATGAGGGAAAATAGTGTTTTAATTTCAGTACAGCTACAGATGAATTAAGGCCCCCTCAGATATTTGTTGGGGATCAAATGAAATGCAGTGCCATGAGGTCCCAGCACAATATATATATATAATCTAAATCTAAAATTCTTATTTTTGCTATTGCTTGATAGAAGTCAAGAAACACTCTGTTCAGTAGGCTTACTTGCATGCAAAGGGGCGTTGTCTTACCTGAACGCCTTTTCTCAGCATGATGATGGAGAATCCATCATCATGCTGGAGAATGTGTATTTATAATAATCTTGAATGAAAACTGATAAGTTTCAGTGCCTATTTTTAATGTACCAAAGAAAACTACCTTTGAAAAATCTGGAAAAAGGTGCAGATCCAGGGTTTCTCCCAAAAGTAAGTTCAGAAGAACATTTTTCAATCTATTGTACCTCAAAGATGCCTGAACAACCTAATGAGAAGCTCCTTTTTAACCTTTTGACCTTGAAGAACATAAAAGGAGCTAGCATTTTAGTATCATGACAATCTCTGCATGCTGGCGTTTCCAACAGATGGAAGTTTACTTTGGCCTTATAAAGCCATTTTACTCAGCTGGAAGCTCTTGTCGCATGACAGATGATCAAAAATAGACCCACTGCAGCTTGTGCTGTCAGTCATGTGAGATATGGCATAAAAGCGGGCGCCTGAACAGAGTGCATGCATATTGTAGGCTACGAAGTTCTAAAGGGGTAAAGTTTCATAATTCTCCCACCTGTTCGTTTCTTGGCTTAATAGAAACAAATTACAAGAGCTTGAACACATATATTCATCAAGATATTCTAACAAGGAAATCTATAATGATAATGCTTCTGTCAAAACAGAGCTATGACCTAACTATAATAAAGTGATTTGCATGTGTCTTTTAAAGATCATCTTTCTTAAGTCTGATAGAAATGAACCTTGGGAATTGATCTGTTTTTAAATGAGCATTATGATCAAATTACTATGTGTATGGTTTTATATCTATTTAAAACCATATAAAAACAAAGTTATTATTGACTTTAATACTACAGATTTCTTTACAGAACACTCAGTATAAGAGAGGAATCATTTTTGCTGTATTTTTAAAAAATTCTTAATGAATGATTGTCATTATTCTGTTCTATAATCTCTTCTTATATGCATCTCTAATGTGTTGCTGTTTCTCTATCCAGGACAGTAGGAAACCAATGATGCATTTTGTTTAGTTAGATTCTTAATGTTGAATTGTAGGCATTGAAGGGGGAATGATTTAGTTTCAAAGCAAAGTTGCATGGATTTTACTGTAAGTCCAAAAAAAATTACTTTCCAATGCAGTAGTATTATATAACTAAAAACATTTTTTTTGCTTGGCAACTTCATACAAACATTGAAAATAATTTCTATTTCAACGCAGCTGTATTTAATTTGGTTATAATAGGGTGATCAAGTGGATCTAATCTGTGCAACAGAGAGAAAGGAAACTTACAACATTGCATGAGAAATTGAAAGCTTTCATTCCTGCATCTGAAGCTTTGTGTGTGCGCGTGTTCCTTGGATTTTATCAGAATTACATATTATGCAGGAGAAAAAGTTTGTTTTCCTGATAAAGTTTTAGCTGCAAGTTAAAGCTTTGGAGAAGATTCAGTTTATTCCAAAAGGAGTAATACATTGAATACATAAGATACAAGGGCTCAATCCATATGTGGGTACATATAGATGGAAAACTAAACAACTTATATAGCTGTAGCAACAAGGTTGTGAGCTGGGAAGCTCATCTTTCAGAGCTTATTTTAAGCCATGCAGATTTATTTAGAGATTTTTAGGCAAACCATTATTTTTCAGCTTCACCCTTCTATGCATAATAACCATGGTCTCCATTACCAGGCCTTTTGTAAGTAATCTTGAGATAATACAGGAAGCTTTTGGGTGTTGAAAGCACCGCAAAAGTATTGTTATCTATACATGTGAGAGCTTTATTACAAATATCAACACTGGCCTGCTTGTGCTTCTAACAGTACAAAAAAAAGGTAATGTTTAATGGTAAGGAGAATATTGAATTATGTATTTAATAACAGCAAGGTTGTTCCTCAAAATATGTTTCTCCTTTTTTTTATTAAATACTAGATCTACCTGAACATAATTCTACCCCAGCTCTCCCTATTTCCTTCCAAAGCTATGCCTTATATAGAAATAAGCAAGCTGGCACAGGATTCCGTGGCCTGATATGTCATAACAGGTTTGACTTTCATGGCCTTACAACCTCTTCAGAAGTGTGATGCACATCTACCCAGAGGTCACTGTCATGTATTTTAATGGCATCTATGTAGCTTCCCCTCAATAGCCTTTTGTGACGGAGTGAATTGCACTATAGTTCGTTTGACAAGTGTGATTCTTGCTGTGTTTACCACACCTGTGAACTTCTATTTAAACTCCTTTGTCGCCTGTGGTTTTTTTGTTTTTTTTTTAATAAGGATGACTGAAGTTGCAGAGGAATTAATGTGTGCATAGCAATTCAAGTAGGATTGCCACAATACAAAACATTTATTACTGCATTCGGATAAGCAGAAGTCCTGTGAAACCATCGGTATTGGGCCATGAGGCTAAACGTGTAGGTTACAAAAAAGTATATTCTAAGGAAAGAATTATACAAACTCTCAGTATATTACAATCCTTAGGTGGGGAAAGTAGTCACTTCTCTGTGGCTATGCACCCTGTGTCTTCCAGACCCAAACCAGGATTCTTTAATCTTTCTTTTAACAAATGTACATTTTAAGATTATCAGTATTTTAAAATTAGTAGTATGCCTTTATAGCAATCCTGATCAGTGTTGTTAAGTTGGCACTAACACTGTACGCTGCTATTTTTTTTAAAACAAACAAACAAACAAACAAATAAACAAACAAATATATTTTCATCAGTGTCTCCTTTTTTAGCTTGTAACATGATCACTGAAATTAGTTATTGTGGCAACCCTATGCATATAACAACAACTAAATTTGAGTTTGGTTTTTAGTTCTGAGCCGGGGAGCGAGGTTTCCCAGTGGTCTAACTTTATCTTCTGTTTTTCCAACAGGATCCCTGCTCATTATGTATATCCGCAGGCTTTTGTGCAACCTGGAGTGGTCATTCCACATGTCCAGCCTACAGCTGCTGCTTCCACTACACCTTACCTTGATTACACTGGAGCTGCATATGCTCAGTATTCTGCTGCGGCGGCGGCTGCAGCAGCTGCAGCCTATGACCAGTATCCCTATGCAGCTTCGCCAGCTGCTACAGGATATGTCACTACCGGGGGATATGGCTATGCAGTCCAGCAACCTATCACTGCAGCAGCGCCTGGAACAGCTGCAGCTGCAGCAGCTGCTTTCGGCCAATACCAGCCACAGCAACTGCAAACAGATCGTATGCAATAGCAGATGGACCTGGCAAGAAAGCATTCTTTGTTATTATTCCTATCAATTTACCTTCAAGCCTTCCAGTAGAAATAATTAACTTTTAAGTAATCCAGCTTTAAAAACAAACAAACAAACGCTACAATGCAATAGAATAGTATAAGAACAAATACCACTGTCTTTTTAAGCATTATGCCTCCCATAGAATGAATAATATTTTGGGATAGGTATTGTAAGAGTTTCTAAGTATCATCGTATCATGAACGCAGAGCTAAAGTAACCAAAAAAAGGTGATTTTTTTTTTAAAAAAAAAATAAGGTGCATTTTACAGTATCCAGGGTAAAACCTTCAGGTGAGCAATATGTCACTATCAAGTGGAAGATTACTATTACTTAAATATTGAAAGTGCTGACTGTCATTACAACTTTTCAGTATGGCCTATTTTGTGTGAATGAGTAGAAAAATATTTTTTTGACAATCTCATACCGGGCATCGAACAAACTAAGGAAGATGGCCCTTGGGAAGTGGGGGAAGGGTAGATAGCATCAAAGTTATTTTCTGATCTGTCCTCTCTATGAATGGGACTATGGACCAAGTGGTGTGGAATTAAAGGGTGTAACAGCTGTACAGACAATCAATGACACAGCCGGTTCTGGAAAGAACACATCACTTGTTCTCATTTGATGGGGTGTCACATTCTAATCCCTCTCCCCATCCTGTTTCACTTTTAGGAAATTTTGACTGCTGGAGTCAGCTATTCTGATTCTAAAACAGGATCAGCTCTCTCCTACAACAGCTTTCTCCTTTTATTTACTGTATCTATTCATGGCTTGTGAATAAAGGCAGGAAGAATATTTGCTGAATTTAAATATTTAAGAACTGTACTGGGGAATGCTTTTTGAAATGATTTGTATACAAATTAATTCCTATTTAAATATTTATTTGCAAAACATAAGTCTCTTTCATGCGGCTACTTGTTGAGACTGCAATTCTTCAAAGGTTAATTCTATGTGAGCTATATTGTGCCTTAATTGTAATGCTATTTAAAGATATATTTATTTTGAAAGTTGTACGATGCTGCATTCTAAAGAAATCCACTTTAGATGTGAAACTGTAAAATATTGTACTCATCTCATAGTGTAAGTTATTTAGCAGGTTTAGCAGTATAATATAAAATAACCTAAGCAATTAAAGATGCTGACATAGGTTTATTGTCTTCAATAAACATACCTTTGTAAGGGTATTTTAAAACTTTTGAAAAGGTTTTGACCTTTAAAATGCTAGTTTCATGATTTTCCCTCTGTTTCACTGACTGTATACCTGTTTTCTTGGATGAAAGCCTTTCTGTTTTTCAATAGCTTACTTATTTTGAAATATGTTAAAATACTACACAAACCAACTGAGGAGTAAGACTCAGTTAAAAAAATTACTGCTGTGTATAATAGGAACTATATTTATATCATTGGTCATACACATCCATAATAACATCTGCATATGGAAACCATGTAAATTGGCTGAACAATATGGGGGGAAAGCATGTAATTTGTCCAAGCCATGAGTTTCCTGTACAAGAGACTTTTGGTTGCCCATATGACTGAGTGGCAAATAGCTTCAGTACCATAACAGTAATCCAGAATTGAGTCTAAGTCCCACTGATCTTTATGGGGACTTTTTCTCAACCAGATATATTACCGGTAATGACTAAGTCTGAAGCCCCAATCTTAAACACAGTATATGCAAAAAACCTCCTATAAAGGAATTCCCATCATGTCTTTAGAGTGGTTATCGGTATTTTCTGCTACGAAAAGGGGTCATTTTTCAGTTTCATCTCTATATAGATCAACTATTATTCCTTAGCTAGGAAATGCTGCTTTCATTTGTCCTGTGAATCTGCAATAACTTGTAATTTTTATTCTTGACCTAAAAAGAAATTTAATATTTTAGACTGTATTGGAATCTTTTTATACTTGAACAATTTCATAAAAGGGAAGACAGGATAGCATTTTTATGGATTTCTCCAATGTCACTGGATTTATTTTGAATACTAGCCAGTGTTATATAAGATATATAACATGACTACTGTGCATGTTATTTATTATGTATATTGCTTTATAATGTTTCAGATCTTTTAATCTATACACTTGTATTAAAATAATAAAAATGTCATTGAATCCAAACCATTTACAGTTGTACACAAAATAAGTTTCTTAATGCATCAAGACATCTTAAAATGCATTTCAGAGCTCCCCTATTGAGTAAACAGCTGGTTCATGGTTTTAAAAAGGTTGATTGAGACAAATGAAATGTTACTTGCTTTGCCTTTATTTATGCAGTGCTGTCAAATTAAATTTTAAACAAGTGCTATTACATGCAATGCATAATTAAGTTGTGGAACATCAGCATGCCATTCCTCTAAAACTTGGAATCAAGCCTATAAATCCATAAAAAACATTGTTCTCGTTCAGAAAAAATATATCTTTGTTTTGCTTTTTGCATTTTTAAAAGCACCATCATTGAAATAATATGCACACTATTCTGAGTGTCTTATTGGGGCAGATAAAAATTAGAAATTTTCTAAATCGGGGGTCCCCAACCACCAGTCTGTGATTCATTTGGAACCGGGCTACGGAAGTGGTGGGCAAGCACGTGTGATGCTGCACTTGTGAAAGTGGCACATGCATGTGAAACCATCCCCTATCCCCCTGCATCCACTGCATCCGCCAGTCCCCCAAACAGGAACGGTTGGAGACCACTGTTCTAAATAAATGGCCACAGATCTGTGTGGATCCATATGATCCCACATTCCTTGTGCTACAGCATCAAGAGGTAAAATGAGGGGATTGATGCTATGTATATCTAGGTGTAATTTTTTTATTATGCAGAGTTTCATCACAAAATAAATCACCTCAGTGTAATTATGCATCATAGTTATTATCCATCCTTCACTGTTACTTGAAAGCTCTCGGCTTTTCAGAACTGAGACGGAACTTAGGAAACTGAAAGAGAAAACACTGAGTGCTGATTTACTAAAAGTATTCTTAGAGTTGTTTGAAATATGTTTCATTTTTCTTTAATTACATATTTAGGAATTTAAAATAATGTGCCAGTTCCCTGATTATTACTGTATAATTATGGTGTGCTGTTATTTTATTTTCATACTGCAAGCATACTGTACTTGCTGTTTCTCCCAGAAAAGCTAAAAGTGATTTACAACTGAATAATTAAAAAAACCCTAACTTAAATAAAACCAATAATCCTTAAAGTCAACATATTCTAAAATTTAAAAGGTTCATTTGGGGGGGGGAAGAAACCCCAGAGAAGATTGGAATTTCAAGCCACACCCTCTGATGATTTCATAATGTCAATTACCCAATCATTGTAGCTTACAACAACCAAAAAAGGGAGGGCAGTCCCAGAATCTAAAGCCTGACCTTGGCAAGTTGCTTTTACCTCTTTTCAGACCTTTTCTAATTGTACTTATACTCACTGACAGTTCTTTACAAAAATAGAAAACAATGATTAAATGACATGAATGTAACCTTACACTTAAAGGATTTGTTGGATCAAACCAAGTTTCCCCAAGGTTCCAGAGAGTGTATTACTAATCTTGAATGATCTTAAAGCTAAGCAGGGTCAAACCTTGATAGTACTTGGATGGGGGACCAGCAAAAAATACTAGAGTAGAAGTATAAACTGGGAAGTAAAAAACAAATATCCTGGAGGAAGGAAATAGGATTTCCATTTTGCTGCCAAGAAACTATATGGACATGGCCTTAAAACTACCCAAAATGAATTGAACTTTCCCTTCATAATGAACATCAGGTTGACAATTGCTTTTTATGTATAATTGTTAATAAAACAAAACAGCATACCTTCTACATGAACTTGCAGTGTTGTGTAACTGTCAAGTGCTACATGCAGGATTCTATTAATAAGAAACGTTATGTGGAAAGTTGTAAGTCAGCCATATTCTAAGAAACAAAATACTATGACATAGCATCTTGTATTTTCAAGTGAGATCATCTAATATATTTGACACAGAGAAATTATACCGCAATTAGCTATCTGATCAAAGTAAACAAGTGTATATACACTTCAGGAATGTATTTTTGTAGATTTGAGGACTCATGGAAAGTTTGTATTATTTAAATGCTATAAAATGTGTATTCTATCTGTAGGAAATGCAGGAAAACTCCTGCCTAGAAAGAATGCAGGGGTGACAAAAGTACACAGTTTAGCAGCTGACTATCTGAAAGAGTGCCTACGTTAATAGGAACATGTTTGGGATCTAAAGTCAACAGAAGAGACCTTCTTAGTGATCAGCCAATTCCAGAAACTTATTTGTCAGGCATGTGGGAGACAGTAACTTCCTACATTGATCCCAAGCTTACAGATTCTGCTCTCTTGAGAACAAGTGTTGTTTAAACATACGCAAACCAGCCACTGAGCTATGGAAGCCTTATAGCAATGCAATGATATCACTAAGAGAGTGTTCCACAACTTCTGGACCATTTGGGGTGGATGTAGGGGTACTAGGATGAGCCTTAAGGGTGAGAACTGTAGCATTTCACATCCCAGAGGCCTATGCTCATCTTTGTTTTACCACTTTTACCTGAATTGAAAAACATCCCGAAAAAAGGCAATGACAACTTATTTCCTTATCATTGCCAAGCAAATTGCATGGTTTCAGGAAGTTGTGATGGAATTCAGAAGTAGAAAAAGTCTTGAAAATTATTTTGTAGGGCTATCTTTGGAAGGTCAAAAGACCACTCTTAATTTTTGTGGTGGTTGTTACAGTGACTAGAGTGGTGATGCAAATTGGGTGGAGCCAATCATCTCATACACACAGGTAGGAATACAGGTAGTCCTCGACTTACAAGCAATCACTTAGTGACCATTTGAAGAAAATGGTACAGAAAAAAGTTACTTATCACCACTTATGACTCTTGCAGCATCCCCATGGTCACATGAGCATAATTCAGGTGCTTGACAACTGGAATGTATTTATGACAGCTGCAATGTCCCAGGATCATGTGATCACCATCTGTAACCTTGCCAGCTGATTTACAGCAAGCAAAGTCAATGGGGGAAACCACAGTTGCTTAATTACTGCATGATTCACTTAATAACTGCACTGATTCACTTAACAACTGTGGCAAAAAGGTTGTAAAATGGGGTGCAACTCATTTAACAACTGCCTTGCTTAGCAACAGAAATTTTGGGCTCAATTGTAGTTATAAGTTGAGGACCATCTGTATTACCTTTTTAGAATAGAATAGAATAGAATAGAATAGAATAGAATAGAATTCTTTATTGGCCAAGTGTGATTGGACACCCAAGGAATTTGTCTCCAGTGCATATGCTCTCAGTGCACATACAAGCAACAAGTAATAAATCATGATCATAATGATCATATTACCTTTTATATATATTTTTTTATGGAAAATATGCAGCTTTATTTATTTTTAAGTTTATTTAAAATTTTGTTCTGTTCTTTTATCTCCTGTAACTACCTTTTATGGTTTTAATTAATTTGAAGTAAAATGGGAATGAATTAGAATTAGAGGAAATTCTAATTACATCCCCACCACCACTGCTTTATAATTCTTATGACTGAAAGGAAGAAAAGAGCACCTAATATTTTAAAGCACAGTTCGACAATTTGGCACCCTCAAGATATTATTGGGGGCACACCTTCGATGTAGATGACCAGTCTGAGCCTGAGAAAGGGGTCAAACGCGTCATCAGTCATGAGTCCCTTTGAGTCCACAAGAGATCTAAGTCTAGCCCATCTTGAATTCCTTCTACTCTTATCTCCTGTTAATTTCCCTTAGCCTATTAGTAGTTCAGATTTTTGTAGAGAGCTTAAACTTGCAATAAATCTTTATACCCATTTAACTTTCTGGCTCTCCTGATTTTCCTGGTGCTTGACACTTACCAATGAATACAGTGAGAAACTGCATTTCATTTTGAAGTTTCAGGGATTCCAGTGTTTATTGGATTTTTAGTTCCCTGGAAGGAAATTATTGAAATTATGCCTCTATAAAATAATTCCTGTTCTCACCAATATTCTTGGTCAGCCTAAACACCACAGAGTTTCTTCCACAGCCTAAGTCAACCTTTCTGCCTCCCCTTTCCAGTACCAGCTCCGATTGCTTAAAGGAGAGCAGATATTGGCCCTATCATCATCCCAGATCTAATATTGCAAAAGAATGAGTAATGTTCCATTCATTTGATTCTTTGGAGTTGTTTAGCCAATATTTTCTCAAGTCATTTTTTTCCTGGGGCTCATATAAATTAGGACTATCAATTCTCCCTCTGTAAGCGTTCAAAGGGCATTGCTCAGATTGTCTATTCCAGGAGTCAGCAAATTACAACCTGTGGACCAAATCCAGCCCACCTGTTATTATACAGCCCACAAGCTAAATGGACAGACAGATTGCCAGGTTGGAGCCTTAGCTGAGCTCCCAGGACAGGATTGGGCCAAGGCTGGGGATCCTGGGCCCAGCAGCAGTCTATCTACAGCCTCTTGCTGGAGAGTTGGTGCTATCTAATGCCTGCCTTGCTGTTTGGCCTGCAGTCCTGCCAACCGCATATAAAGAGGGCAGGATCTGGCCCCTTACAAAAAGAGTTTGCCAACTTTTGTTCTAGACTACCGGTAATAGTGGAACCCACGAAAATCTTGAATTCTAAAAAAAAAATAATGCAGAAATTGAAATGAACTTTCGGATATGGTTCAAACTAGTTCCCCAAACCACAGCAACATCTTGGCATTATAGATATATTAAGATCAGAAAATTCACACCATGAACCCTCCCTCTCAGTGTTCCCCCCCACCTTTGCTCTCTAAGTCAGCGGTTCTCAAACTATGGGTCGCGACCCCATTTGGGGTCGATCGACCATTTCACGGGGGTCGCCAAGCAAGGCTGTCCGCCATTTTTCCCCCTTTTCCGGCGGGTGCCTTACCTCCCTTGAGCTGGGCCAGCTGGTGGTCGGCCTGCTCTGTCTCTGCCGCTTGCCAGCTACGCCTCGGCCGGCGCAGGGGGCGGAACCACGCATGCGCGGCGCTCCCGGGCAGGGAAAGTCCTCGACTTACAACCAGTTGGGTAGTCCTCGACTTATGACCAGTTTAGTCCTCGACTTACGACCAGTTTAGTCCTCGGCTTACGACCGGTTGGGGTCGCGGCATTAAAAAGGTTGAGAACCACTGCTCTAAGTCATCCATACCAAGGTGAAGTGTTAATGCTTCACTCAGATTCGTTGCCAGTTTCCAATTCAGGTAGCTTCAAATTTCACCCTTCAACTCAGTTGAGTGATTGCATTAAGATTAGGAGATATTTACTTTTAAAAAAAAGATTTGGAGATATTTGGGGGGGGCGAGGAAAGGGCAGGAATATACTTTGCTCACACTTCAGCAAGTGTGTGATGCTGCAGAAATAACAAGTCAACCTACTTGTAAATATACATGAAGAAACAACTAGAAATACCCACACAAGATGTAGACTCCTAACTTATCATCAAACGAGACATTTTTGAACATGCACACATGTAGGAATGTATTTGCATCATAGTAGGGACATTCCTTAGGCTTTTAACTTTACTGTCTTCATTTGGGGGGAAAGTACGGATCCTAGTCTAACAGAATAAGAGTTGGACGGGACCTTGGAGGTCTTCTAATCCAAGCCCCTGCTCAGGCAGGAAACCCTATACCAGTTCAGACAAATAGCTGTACAATCTCTTCTTTAAAATATCCATTTTTGGAGCACCCACAATTTCTGGAGGCAAGTCGTTCCACTGATTAATTGTTCTAACTGTCTATGTTACTATTAGTAGACTATCATTCCTCTTTAGGATGAATTAGTACCAGTACAGTGGTGACAATATGGTCACCATCTGCAGCAATCTAACAGAATAGAATAGAATAAAAACTTTATTGTCACAATCCTGCATTTAGTGTCATTTCACAGTTGTTTGCAGATTTCTGGAACGAAGACATTTTGTGCTCTGGTATTCCAGATTTAGATACATTCCGTAACTCTCCCTCCCACAGTGGGAACTACTTTTATAGATGCAGCCTAGCTGTCAAAAGCTCTTTTATAAGGGAAGAGAAATTCCACCTGAGCTATAAACAGTGTTTGGAGCAAGGAAATGTTTTTTTATTTATTGGAAAACACTAACTACTGTAAGTATCTCTTCTGAGAAAGCAAGTGAAGGATATAATTATCCTAAATAAATAAGAGTAAAGTAGATGTGACACTGTGTGAATACAATTAACATTCAATGTTTTCTATTTTTAAGTCTCTCTTAGGGCGTCCTCCCATTGCACATATTTATAAATATACATTATGTATCTTCTAGCGGGCCTACCCGAGGTTTTATGCTGCTAATCTTAAATTATTTTAAAATGTGCTTTCATTAAAACACATTAGCAAGTATTATATTCATTATTTTCTATTGATGTACCTAAGTTCCAGTCGATATGTGCTTCTAATCTGTCATTATAGTATGTGATTTTAACCCTTCCCTTTAAATCAGTGGTTCCCAACCGTTTCTATACCCCGCACCCCTAGGACGCTTCTGATATATTCTTGCACCCCTTACAAAAGTTCAAAATAACAACAACGGATTATGCACATACACTATAATTTTGAAAACCCCAAGTTTTTGCACCCCCTGAAATATCGTCTCACACCCCCAGTTGGGAACCCCTGCTTTAAATGTTGATGTTGACCTGTCATTCTTAAGAGTGCTGGATTCAGGAAAAAGGAACCGATTGGCGGAAAACACTGTGCACGTTTTAAGGAAACTGTGATGCGCATCCCTTATGGTCACGGATAGCATTACAGAGCCTTCCCAATGCTGGGATGTGAAGGACAGCGCCCCCAGTTCTAACCACCATAGTTTCTACGGGAGTTGCAACCCCCCCACACACATTCTTATTTATAACTTCACTTGGAAGGCCTGCTTCAAGGCTGTCTCCCAAAGAAAGCCTGGGCATAACAGCTTAATTTGCACAAGGCAGCAGATTTCTGCACGCTGCCTCTTCTGTGTGGCACTTTTAATCTGGCACTGCCTGGAAATGAGGACCCGGCCAGCAGGCCCTTGTGGGGACCGCACAGAGCAGAAGCCGAGATTGGAAGGAAGGGCGGGAAACGTCTTCGTGAAGCCACGATGGTTTTCCCCAGCACCTGCTCTGCCTTACCAGTTCAGCCTCTCCTGGCGAGGCCTTTCCCCGAGGCCTTGGCCAAAGGGGCTTCCTCGCCTTTCCAGTTCCTTTCAGCCTTAGCAAAGCCGGCGGTGCCGCTGGGAAACCTGTCACACACACGCCTACCCGCTCGGTGCATTTCCACACCCCACCGCCTTGTGCTTTTTTTTTTTTTTTCCGCCGCCGCCGCCGCCACCCTCTCTCTCTTCGCGCTCTCCCGTTGGACTTGTCTTTATTTGGCGCTGTCGGAAACTCCGCGGGCTGCAACCTTCCCCCCTCCACCCCCACCCCCGTTTTGGGCTTCTTTTTTGCGAGCGACGCCGCTTCATACTGAAGAGGGGGAAGGCCTACGGATTATCCTGGTGTAGAGAGAAGACGCGCCGCGGCTCTTCAGAACAGGTAATCCAAGAGCAGGCGGCGGCGGGGACAGGCGACACAGACCAACCCTTTTGGCCTTAAAGTGATGGGCAGGGCAGGGCAGGGCAGGGCAAGGAGTGGGGTGGGGTGGGGTGGAAAGATGCATTTTGGCCAGGCAGCAGATATAAGGGGGGGGGGGAACTTGGCAACGGGCGACAACTGTGCAAAGGGCCCTTTCACGGCGAGGCGAGCGGGGGCTCTGTGTGTGTGTGTGTGTGTGTGTGTGTCTGCGCGCGCCTCTGCATGAGATGCTGGAGACGACCGACACGGGCGCGTGTGGCTTCTGCGGTCTAAGAAAAGGCAATCGGGGTCGCTCTATCTGCTGCATTGCCTGCCTGCCCCCGCCCATTGGAGGCAGTGGCCTGCGCCAAGAGCGGGCAGGTCTGCTAACGTTTTGTCCTAAAGCTGGAGGTGTGTGGGCGGAGGTCCCCTTTCCGGAATGGGATTTTTTTTTGGGAGGGGTGGGGGAATTGGGTGCCGGCTCCGCCATGGCCCGAATGCGGCGGGGTGTGACATGCTGAACTAGCAGCCTCTACCTGCACAGGTGATTTCATCTCCTTTGAATTGGCGGCATTTGCGACAAGCCCCCCGCCCTATTTAGGGAAGTAACCATGTGTGGAAACAGACCACCCCCTTCTCTGGGTCATCAGGAAAAGAAAAGAGGCCTAATCATTTTGTTACGATTAGTGCTTTCATTAACATTTTTTTAAAAAATGCGTGTTTCCAGATGAGGCAGCCTGAGCTACATGTGTGTCCCTATAATATAAACATTTTGTATGACCACCACCTGCCTATTCCTGCTTCTGTAATATCTCTCTTCTTAAGAACAACCTAAGATTTTTGGTATGCTATGAATCATTCCAAAAGGGTGCATATATATATATAAAGCCCTTGAGATTCAGAGTCATAAAAATGAGAGGTAATGCTTCCATGGAATTTAGCTTGATGTGGGTTAACGTTAAACGTTTAGAAAGTAGCTCATTCCAGTTAAACATTTAGAAAGTAGCTCATTCCAGACTGAAAAAGCAGATCTTTTTGTACAATATGTTATGTAAATCTAGGCTTGCAACTTGCAATGACAATTATTTCCAAATAAGGATAAACTAGTTTGCAACTGGACTGTGTCCTCCATTGAACAGCGAATATAATAAAACATTACCATTTTGTGCTTCAATAAATTTAATAGTGTGTCCAGAATCATTTCATTCCCAAATATAAATGTGGGATTGTGCCATTATTAAGAAAAGTGCGTAGACGTATCTGTGAGGTCAGCAGGAGTTGCACTTGCCTCAAGCACTGCTTCACCTCTCTTACTAGTACTTAGAACAGATTATTTTTCAATGAAATTATCTGCGTGGAGTCCTTAATGATCTCTGAGCTTGGTGGTTTGCTTGCAGATATTTCATTACCTAACTAGTAACATCATAATCTGCATGGTTTTATCAAAAGCCTAATTCTCTGTATATGAAAATCAAAGCCAAAAATCACCCATGTTTTGGAGACTACAGGGATTGTTTCTTTTAATATTTCATATATTACACATATGTACATATTAACATAGTCTTTGCCAATAAACTTGCTATTGTTTTTATTTAAACTTATTAAGTATCCTGTTGTTTTTAATATCTTTAGAATAAACATCAACAAATAAAACAGACCATAAAAATTCAGGAGACTAGAAAACAAAAAAACATTCTCATTACATTCAGAGTAACATGTTCCTATGTCTACTGAAAAATGAGCCATGGTCATCACTGCATTTTGTGTTTCAGTCACTTCTTTCAAACCCACTTCAGGTCATCTATTCTGGGATAGGAATAAAACAAGCTTTCTTAAATAAAAAAAGAAATCTAATAAAATAAGCTTTATGAATAATTGGGCATCTAATACAAGCACTAGAATCTAAAAAGCCAGGTGGAGAATGAAAGTTTATTTTATTAAAATGAAATTATTTTAATAAGGACAATTAAAAGCTGAATCTGGGATGTTTCTAGGGATTGGAAATGTTGTGTAAACATTTGTTCATAATTGGTAGTAGAAGGGATGTGCTAGTTCAAAATGGCAGAGGATTAAGTTGTGAGATCATCTGAATCATTTTAATTTCTCCTTCACTGGACTGTTTTCTGTTTTTATTCAGCACAGTAACAATATAAGGAATGACTCATTGTTCCCCATGACTCTAGAGTTGCCATTTCTGGACTAAGTGACCACTAGATGGCAGGAAATAGATACTGTAATATGTAACTCTTTGCTGACACCTACTGAGCATCTATATTTGTACAGACTGGATATGCCACCATGACATGATTTCCCATTTGATGGATACTAAGTTCAGAATCCTAACTGAAATCATAAAAGTTTGGGAAAGAGAATGAAACTACATGAAAACTGAGTACAGATGGTTAATGATTATTCATTCAGCTTGGTCACTCAACAGTGAGACACAGGTGAAGTGGGCCCAGCAGTGCCTGCATTTTCTGCATCGCATGAGAAAAGTACATCTTCCTTCACCTGTCCTTACCACTTTCTATAGAGGGGCTATCCCAGTGGTGGCGAACCTATGGCACGGGTGCCAGAGGCGGCACTCGGAGCCCTCTCTGTGGGCACACGTGCTGTTGCCCCAGCCTTGCCTCCCCCCACGACCCCCTCCTCTCCAGCAGCCCCCCTGAAGGAGACTCGCCCTCGAGCGTGGCCCACATGGAGCAACGCAGCCAGGGACATGGCAGCCAGGCAGCGTAGACAAGACTCTGCCCTCACACCCCATCATGCAGTTGATGCTGCAGGGTGCGGGCAGAGAGTGTGGCCACCATAGCACTGCTGGGCTGCCTGGGAGATCTGCGGCGGGCCCTGGAGGTGGTGAGTGGTCCTGTGGGCAGGTGGGGCGGGGGATGGGGGGGCAGAGCAGAGGCGGAGCAGGGAAGTGGAGCAGGGGCGGGGCCAGTTTTTGGGCACTCGGTCTCTAAAAGGTTCGCTATCACTGGGCTATCCAGAGCATCCTGTCTTATTGCATTACTGTCTGGTTTGGAAGCATCATTGCATCAGACAAGAAAGATCGTGCAGAGAGTGGTGAGGATGGCAGAAAAGATTATTGGTAGTTTACTTCCTTCTATCCAGGACATAGCATATAAGCGATGCTTGAGCAAGGTCCGCAGGATTATCTGGGACACTACACATCCTCTTCACAACCTGTTTTCCTTGTTACCTTCTGGGAGGAGGCTTCATGGTATCCAAAGCAGAACATCCAGATTCAGTCACAGTTTTGTTCCATATAGCATCAACCTTGTGAACTCTCTTCCTCTTTCCGCTATGTGTTCAAAATGGACAGTGATTAATATTTATATGTATATATATGTATGGGCGTAGAAATATCTCTCTCTCTCTCTCTCTCTGTGTATGTATATATGCATGTATGTGTGTGTATAGCATGAGTATATGTGTGTTTATGTGTATGGATAGATATATACCTTTTGAGAGCAGGCCACAGAATTCCATTTTTAATGTGGGCCAGTATGCTCACAGTAAAAAATGACAATAAAGGTTTTCTTATCTTATCCTATTCTGTTCTATCCTATCCTATCTTATCATGTTATCTTCAGTGACCATTCAAAGTTATGACAATGCTGAATGAGGAGACTTATACCTGATCCTTGAAATTGTGGCCATTGGAGTGATCATGTGGTCAACCACATGACCACTCCAATGGCCACAACCAACATGCAATTAAAATGGTTACAGTGTCCTGCAGTCACAGGATCGCTATTTATGAACATCACAGCCGGCTTCTCACATGCATAGACAATGAAAAAGCTAGTAGGTCACAAATAGCAATCGTGTGACATGCTTCATGACCCATGCAGGATTTCCCTGATGACTGGAAAGGCCAAAACTGCTGTCATAAGTTTGTGCAGTCATGTGACATCAACACTTTACGACCACCTTGGTTAGTAATATTGTTCCTGTTCTCAATTACCATGGTTTGCTAAGTACCCGTGGTATACTGTGAAACATAAAAAATGGTTTTTCTTTTTTTAATTTAAAATTCTGGCCATTGGCAAGTGGCTTACATAACTACATTTCTATATACTGTATACTAATACATTATTCTGTGCATAGAAGTAAGACTGAAACATTGTTCTGATTTTCATCACTATTTACGTCAAGCCAAGCAAGCTATAGCCAAACCAGATTTCCTAAAAATATTAAGAAAGTGTGAAGTGGGTAGCATTTAAGTAAAATATTTTAGTCTGCTTGTATGCAGGATGAAAAGGGCTATACTATGAATTGCAGAATTATTTGCTGTTCCTTTGAAGCTAGTTATCTTTAAATGTTTTAAATATACTTGTATTTTTCATCAGGAAATTTGCTTGGTTGAAGTAACACAGAAATGCATATTTTTAAACAATGTTTATCTTGACTTTTTTTTCTTTTCATGATTTGAAATAATTATGAGTTAATTATGAGTTGGAATAAGTACTGGTAAAAAGTTTTTCTATTAACTTTCAAAATAGTCTTGCACATACATTTTTACGTTTATTTGAATTCTGAATGGAACAGAAGATATTATGGACTTGCCATTCATTCATTCATTCTTCTTTGACTCATTAAATTCTATTAACTATATATAGACCTCCCAGAGTTGTCAAGAGTCAGGTGGCATACAAATTTCATGAATGAATGAATGATATACTGAAATATATGCTGTTACTGGATATTAACAGCATTTGCTTCCTTCCAGTAATTGGATTTGTGGCATTAATTAATTGGATTGCAAGCACTTCAGAATATTTGATCAGTGCATGGCCAAAGAGATCCTCTGTACTTTACATAACTATTGATAGAGGAGATACTTAAAATGTTGCGTTTTATTAGCTGCAAAGAGAAAATAAAACTAATAAAAAAAATAAGCATCTGTGTATGGTGATTCAAAAAAGTAGCACTAAATGTTATATGGATAATTAGAAAAACTGTTGCCTTGGTAACTTTAAATCAGCCATTTTTTTCCAAAATACTCTGGTTGTTATGGCATCAAAAGTTATTACATCCATATGTGAAAAAACCTTCTTTCCTTCTTCCTTCCTTCCTCATATGAATATGTGTATCCAACATTTGGTATTCTAAAGCAGGAATGTCCAGATTTTAATCTTAAGGCTTTTTAACAGGAAGAAACTCCTGTCCCACCAAAATTGTGAGATATATTACAAGCCTACCCCTATTTGTTTCTTGTTACTGTTGATGATTAAATCAGTCTCGGGGGAAATACTTCCTTAGTGAGTTGAATTTGCAGATGTCTTGTGGACTTGAAAAGGTCTTATGGACTTTAGGCATTATTTTAAAAATATCCTTGGGTTTCTAGCATTTGATGGAATTATAAGAGAAGGTTAAAAATGCTTATTGGGGAAAATGGATTTGCGTAACAACTGCTGCATTCATTTAATGACCATTGTAAGGAATGGTGATTACTTACCTCGACTTAACGACTGCAACAATTCATTACCATAATTCCAGTCTCAATTCCTGTTGTCAAGTCAGGATCTACGTATAATGTAAATAACATCTAATACATTTTACAGCTAAAAAGAACATTCTTGAGATGTTTCCAGCTGTCAGAGCATATTTGGGAACACTTCCTTCTTAATTTCCATTGAAAACAAATTGAAAAAAAGTGAAGTCACAAGAAAAGGAAATGCAGAAATTACGGATAGCGATAATTACCTTATTTACAGTAGTTATTAGCTAAATTGTTGGGAGATCACACAGACTTTCTTGCATTCATGAGGTGGTTAACACATTTAATGTGATTTTAAAAACAGTTTAATCGAGGTGAAAGCTTAAGTCGTGGAGTTTAGCCAAGGCTGGATATTTTCTCCATATGTTCTGCTTGTAAGATGCTAACTGACATGAAATGTTAATTTAAAAAGAAAAAAGATGCAATTTGGCAACATTTATTCATTTCCATGTGCAGGGCTGTCTGTGGTGACGGTCATTGGTTTCAGAATAGTGGGCGTGGCTGGGTGATTTAGCCACACTCCTTTTTACATGTGTACAATGCATGAATGCTCTTTTAAAAGAGACAGAGTTTTGATTGCCTCTTCATGCATGGCATTTTGAAGCCAGTGATTGACACTGCAGATAGCCCTGAGTTTGGAAGAGGTATTCACAACCAGAAAATTAACTGAGTTTGGTCTAGTGCAGGGGTAGGCAACCTTGGTTCTTTTATGACTCGTGGACTTCAACTCCCAGAATTCCTCAGCCAGCCATGCTGGCTCAGGAATTCTGGGAGTTGAAGTCCACGAGTCATAAAAGAACCAAGGTTGCCTACCCCTGGTCTAGTGGTTAAGGCACCAGACTAGAAAGCAAGAGACTGTGAGTTCAAGTCCTACCTTAGCCATGAAAGTAGGCTAGGTAACCTTAGGCCCATCACTCTCTCAATTTGCCTCACAGGGTTGTTTTTGTGGGGAAAATAGGAGGAAGGTCTGTTTAATGTGTTCGCCACCTTGAGTTATCCGTAAAAATAATAAAAGAGTGTGTGTGTGTGTGTGTGTGTGTATGTAAAAATATAATTTCATGGTTCTCTAAAATCTACACTTCTCATACAACAGCTAGTATTATATGTGTATCTCTTTTTTTTCAGAATGGCAGAGGTGGCTTTGATAGAAAGGTTGGAAAATGCTGTAATTAGGCTTGAATCATTGTTATCAGAATCACATAGAGCTGCTGGAACTATCAATGGAATCAATGAAGGTATGATTTTATTGTTTCAGAAACTATTTTTTATTTGGTTGAAAAGTGAACACCTAAATGTCCTGTGGTGGTAACATTTGTTCTGAAAGAAAGCTAAAAGATAACCAATCACTTCCATCATATTTTTAAATTACCTATATGGAATATTAATCTTTCATTTTAATCAAAGTTTTATGTTCTGCAGAAAAGATGTGTAATTCATCTATTATCCGCATTATTGATGTTTTAAATTTCTTTCCATATTTCAACATTACTGTTTTGATTGCTACAAATAATTTACTGTCCAGTAAAACAAAAATTAGCAGAAAAGTTCTGTGTTGCAAAAATGAAAATACCTATTTTCCACTTTACCAAATTTTGACATTGGATTAAAAATGTGCTTGGGTCACTAAAAGCAGTTTAAGGGTTATTTTTATTTTAGGTTGTTTTTTTTATATACTGTTTTCCATTGGGGTCTTTTCCATTGTATTTCTATAGTCCATCTCAAGAAGCACATCACAGTTGTCTGATAACTTAGAAAAAAACCACAGTTAACAAACTACTGATCCAGTGAACCTGCAAGTGATAGATTACAGTACAATACAATCAGCTCTTTTAGCTTTACAGTACTGTAATACTTTATAACAATTATACATGCTTTGGTGCCTCAATTTGTGGATCATAGACATTCAAAATAAAGCTTTTCATAATGTCAGCAGTAAGGTGCTTTCCTCCCATCTCTGAGTTAGGAGAAAAGAATATCAGTGGAGAAAATGCTGTACCTGCTGATTACCTCTGCCTTGCCTTAGACTCAGAACCAATTACTGTTATTGTCCACACTCAGTTCAGTGTGGGATAACTTCAGGGTATCAGTTGCTGCGTGACTTGCCATCCCTTCCCCTCTAATCTAGTGTCCTCAGTCTATAGCAGGGGTCTTCAAACTTTTATGACTTGTGGACTTCAACTCCCAGAATTCCTCAGCTAGCGTGCCTGGTTGAGGAATTCTGGGAGTTGAAGTCCACAAGTCATAAAAGGGCCAAGTTTGAAGACCCCTGGTCTATAGGCATAAAAACCAACCACCAATCATGTGTTGGGGCAGTGCTGAGTGTTCAGGTGTTGTTGTTGTTTTTTGTCACTTAATGTTTGATTTGATTTTTCATTGTGAATACTTTCTTGGACTTTTTTGCTGAAAATAGAGGCTTCTGCTTCAAGGCCTTATACTTACATACACAAGGCCAATTTGTCACATCGTTTTCTGCTAAGGCTAAGGAAGCAGGACTGTGTGTGGAGAATTTCCTCCACCTACTGCAACTCCTAACTGAGATTCCCTGCTGCTGAAATGGCCAATTCTCTTTATCAAGAGCTGGCAATCGCATTTTTTTTAAAAAAAAATAATAATTAAAAAAGATTTTTTTAAACAAATGTATAGTTTCAAGCTGTTATCCAAATCCTCCAGAAATTTTCTATCGTATTATTTCCACACTGGGGCTTTCAGCGGTTAGAAGGACAATGGAGGAAGAGACCCTGAAAAACTCAGAAAGGGAATCTCACTGCTAGTGATAATCTGCAGGGCCTTCTCTTTTCTCCCATGACTGATTCAGAGCAACCCGAAAGGTCCATGTTTTGCTTGCATTAGGAATCAGCGCAGTCCTCCCAATTCCATTTCTTCCTAATGGTCAAAGGTTCTAGCCTGACAATAGGAGACCTTAAGAAGCAATAGTTCATATTCCTGACACTTGCTTCTGGATCTCCATAATGTCCCAGATTTGCTTTCTCTTCATCTCTGGGATGGGAACCTTCACAGCTTGAGGCTTATAGAGTTCACTTGAAGGAAATCTTCCTTTGGTCCTTTGCTTCAAGATAGCAGTACATTTAGGTCACTGCATCTGATGTTGGACAGGACATCAGCTATGACTCAAGGCATGTTACTCAGCTCAGATGCTTCTTCTGTGGCCAGCCAGAATGGTCAGTTCACCAAATTCCAAAGAATTCATGGTGTTAGCTGCCAGACTTGGTACTATATACTCTCTCCATGACTTTGAATGTTATAACCCATACAGTTGGCTGCTCCTTCAATTGCCAGTCCTTTTAAAGAGCCAATCACTTATTAATTGTCTGGAAGACCTGCATTTCTTTAAAAAAACCCTGCATATTTGTAGAATGTACAAGGGGTTGACGGTAGAACTGGAGTTGCTTGTTTCTCATTCCAAAGACAGAAGGACTTCTAGAACAATTTACTTGGATTCTACCTCTAGACATGGTGATTATTAGAATATGGACACTTCTCTCTTAACATTTTATACATTTACTTTATCAAATGCCAATGTATCAGTACATAGATATATTGAAATATGTTAAATTATAAAGGTATAGGAAATAGATGTATGTTAGTCAACTAAACCTAACATGTTTTATTACTTTGCTTTAATTATTTTATTATTTAAAAATAGATAGGGATTAAATATATGGGTTCCAGAAAAGGAACCTTGTTTTAGGATTTAAAGATTGGAAGTAGCTCATCTTAAATCTATTTCAGAACAAGTAAAGTAAATGTTTACATTTTACAAAATTTCATAAAATTACAAAATTTTATTATTACTCTGTGTGGAAAAAGATGGCACAGGCCAGGGCAAAATGTAAGAATAATTTAAATCTGGACATTCGGTAGATTTGCTATGTTTGCTTCTGCAGCAATTGAGTTTACAAGATGCTTTCCTGGTTATATGGGGTTTTCATTTTAGATTGTGAAATGACTATAATGTTTTAGCCAGTTCTTTCAGTTCAGCTTTCTTCCACAGAACTAGCACCATATGTTGAAGCTTTCGACAGACTCATGAATGAGACTGTAGCTGAGTTTATAAAGAATAGCAAGATCCTTGATGGTGATATAAAGATTCATGTAAGTATTTATTTCTGTTTTAGTTTCTAATTATGAAGGTTTAATTTTCACAAAAAGGTGGGTCTTCCATTGACTCCCTCTAGACTACTAAAAGTCCAGTACTTGCTGAAATTTCAAAGGGTGAAGAAATAGCTTTCAAACCAAGTTCAAAAAGAAGTTGAATCCAGAACGTCCTTATTCTAGCCAAAAATTGAGTTAAATGTATAGAAGTCAAATCCACCTTTCCCAACAGACAACTATAATATACTTAATGTAAATACCAAACAAAAGCTGGCCCGAGAATGTTATTCAATTATAAATGTTTTTGAAGGAATATAAATGCAAAGACCACTTACAATATTCTTAGACTTAAGTTCGGTTTAGCTAAACTTATATTTATTCTCAATATTCAGTTGTAGATCATCTACCTGGCTCTTCTTTCAATTATATTAAATTTGCTAATTGAAAACATTTCCTAAAATCAATGTCAACTCCTAATCATAGCAAAAATATTACCAAGATCTGGTAGAATCAAGTCTGATTTTGTAACATAACTGGACAAGATATCATACATTAGTGCAATGACATTAGGAATTCTCCTGCATAGTGTATTTATATCATTACCTTTCTTTAGCTCTGCAATACATTTTCTTAAAAGTTTTCTGACTTAGGCTGCACTGCGAAAAAGAGACCATGGTGGATCTCAGTGGACTTGATCCAGCACCTGTGATTTGCCTTAGCAGGTCAAAGAAGGAATGCTTTTCTTTTACATATCCTGTAGGCCACATGTCCCATGCATTATATGTACAGCTGCTTCTTCTTTCATATCAGGAGTTGAAAAGCAAGTTGTATTTGGTTTCAGAAAACACCTGTTGTCCAGAAAACCGCCAGATACACAGGAAACAGTATATTATTTCTTGGAATATGTTTAGAGTATTTTTAAACATAATCTTATGCATAATTACTGGAGGAGAAACCCAGAGAATTAAATGGAACTTTTAAAGTTAAACATATGTAAGGTCACATTAACACAGACATAAAATATCTATGTCCAACCTTGTGAATTTAATTTACCCCATGTGATCTATTTAATTATACTGTGTTTTCAGTTGAACTTCGAATTTAAGTGATATTGATATTTAATTGATCCAATATATTTTGGTTGTTTATATGTGGTTTTTAAAAATTCCGTCTAGAAATAGTAAATGTTAAGAGTTAATTTGTAAACGTCAAGCATAGGAGAGCAAGACATAAAAGTGTTTTAATTAAAACAACTTTAATTTACTGAACCCCGTGCTGAAAGGAAAACCAACTTTTTGGAATAAAAAATCATACTAGTTCACATGGAACTCTTTTGGGGCCAAAGGAATCAACAGGGCTAGTGGCAACCCACAGACATACATGCTTCAGCATATGCTCACTTTCAACCTACATGTAAAATACTCATTAGGTTGGGGGAGCAAGTTTTATCATTCTTAAATGACTCCCTCCACCTTGAATAACAGTTTTTTTTTTATTTTGATTTAATTAGTTGAATTCAGCCATTGTGGAATCTTTGAGTTCTGGCTTAGCACAAATATGAAAAACTACAGCCTATGGTTGCATATAGCACATGCCAGCAAGTTTATTTCAGCCATAGATCTCTCAACAAGGATAGTCGCCCAAAATTTGGCTATGGGGATATTTGGGGTTTTCTTTAAGAGGTGAAATGGGTGCCAACCATCTCATCTTTTAAAAATTTCCAAGACATCTCAAAATTTCCAAGGCTCCCTCAAAAATCAAGGTTACTTGAGGTTTTGTCCGTGTCTGTTTTTGAAGCATAGTACAGTTTTCATTATGCATGGAAAACCTATTGCAGCTGTTGGATTACCAAAAGTTTGTTTCTTCATTTCCTTGTCAAACAAAGCCAGAAGGATATAATACTTCTTTTATTTAAATATCTTGCTTCTATCTGACCTCAAAGCTGTAATAAATAAATTTGAATTTTGATTGTTTCCCTACTTATTCAGTCTTCTTAAAGGTTTTATGTGCCACGCAAAAAGCAGCCAAGGTCTGCATAAATTTGTATCTCACCTTATATATTTGAAAGGAAAAAAACCCAAATGGGTGATTGTTTTTAATCATATTTGCTGATAGCAAAAATATTAATCTAAATTACTTGATTAGAAGGTAATCGTTCTGAAAGACCGCAATTCAGTTAATAATTTTGGGGGTTAGTTTTATAATAAACGCTACAAAGCTGAAAGCATAATTTATTATAGCTGGCTTAGGTGAGTAACTTGCAGCCATTAGCTCAATGTATACAGTAGCTCCCAAAAGGTCAGGGCTTCATTCTGAACCACGTCTTGAACTGGTGATCTGATAGATCGGTATCAAGTTTGGCTAAAGGAGGAATGATAGCCACAGTTGTCAAGGGAACGTTTGCAATAATAAGTGCAAGTGGAACAAGCGACAATTTCTCTGTTGGGCGTGCTCACGTGTAAAAACAAAGGAAAGGTTGGCTGTTGTAGTACAGGTAGTGCTCGACTTACAACAGTTCATTTGTAAGTCGGTTGGTGACTTACAACGGCACTGAAAAAAGGGATTTATGACCATTTTTCACACTTATGACTATTGCAGCATCCCCATGGTCATGTGATTTACATTCGGATGCTTGACAACTGATTCATATTTATGACGGTTGCGGTGTCCTGGGATCATGTGATCCTCTTTTGCAACCTTCTAACAAGCAAAGGCAAAGGGGAAGCCAGGTTCACTTGATAACCGGGTTACTAACTTAACAACTGCAGGGGTTCACTTAACAAATGTGGCAAGGAAATTCATAAAATGGGGCAAAACTCACTTAACAAATTCCTCACTTAGCAACATAAATTTTAGGCTCAATTGTGGTTATAAGTTGAGGACTACTGAAGAACAGGTCTGACATTATTATTAGAGACAATGAGAGGCTATTCTAGGTAGCAGATTCTGAAAAGGAGAGAGCTGCAGAGCTCTATATGGTGCCGACACAGGACTCACACCTCATGTTATCATGGATTGTTTAGGAAGGGTTAGATAGAATAGGCTGAGCCCAAACCAACAAACTGTGTTAGAGTTTAGCATGATATATGAAGCAAATTATATATGAAGCTAGTCATGTCTCATATCCCCAAGCAATGAAGCTGCAATGGAGAAGGCTGTCCTGTCACTGTTGAGTAATGAAAAATTCAGCCATCTGTTCAGCTCAGAAAACAAGGAGGCTGAGCAGGTGTACACACGTGCGGGCATCATATTGCTTTTCCTCTCAGGCAACAACATGTCTTGGGGTGATGATTTCTTTTTGTTTTGCTTTATCCCATCCCTCTGATTCTTTAGAGAAATGCGAGTCAGTCTAGATTTGGATGAACAGGCATGCTCAGTATGCTGTCGTTCTAACCAAGAACAATTTTGTCTTGTCTGGGTTTCGTTTCAGTTGATTACCCTTCATTCAGTGAATCGGGATATATGCCGGTTCAGTCTCCTTCCACATAGAGTTGCCCAGTGTTTTTCTAAAGCCATCACAGAGCCATTTATACAGAGGTTCATTGAAACGATTTACACTTTGAGCTTTTTTTCACAATGCTATTGTGATACAATTGTTCCTGTTTATTTTGGAATGAAGAGTTTCTATAGCTCCTTTTAATGTGCTTGTCAACAGTTTGAATTGATTTTGAATGATAGGAAGGTTGAAGTGATGATGACATAGAAGAAGATAATGGAGAAAAACAAATTACAAATAAATTACATAGGATGGGTAAAATGGTTTCCTTTTGGAGGAACGTTGTCCATGGGGTCGCGATGGGTCGGACACAACTTCACAGTTAACAACAACAACAAATATAATTTATTGGAAAATCTAAGATTTAATATTGTGAGACAGAACGTATTTCTCTATCCTCTATGTACAATTTATAATTTGTGAAATTATAAACAAGAATAATTTTCCCTTTTCTTCTTTTTTTCTCTTAAATTAAAAATTCACATTTTTAACTTAAATGTTATTGACTCTCTTAAATGAGATTGAAAAAAACCACATCTGTTGTTTTACCTAGCGATGTCTCTTTTCTGTGAGCTATATATATTTACATTGTTGCAAATAAAACATTAAAAATTGTTCTCATATATACAGGTAGTTTAGTGACTGTTCAAAGTTACAACAGCACCGAAAAATGTGACTTAGGACCGTTTTTCACATTTACAATCATTGCAGCATCCCCAGGTTCACACAAACAAAATTCAGTTGCCTGGTAACTGGTTCATATTTATGACCATTGCAGTGTCCCAAAGTCATTTTGCACCTTCTGACAAGCAAAATCAATGGGGAAGCCAGATTCACTTAACACTTGTGTTACTAACTTATCAATTGCAGTGATTCACTAAACAATTGTGGCAAGAACAGTCATAAAATGGGGCAAGACTCAATTAACAAATGTCTCACTTAACAACAGAAAATTTGGGCTCAGTTGTGGTCATAAGTTGAGGTTTACCTGTATTAAGCTTACCCACAAATTGCACCACAAGAAAACAGATCACACGTGAAAAGAAATAGATAAAAGCAAAAAATGGTTTCTGCCAGGAATGTGTAGAAAATGGACGGACTTGATTCAGATTAAAATGTTACCTTTACTTCTATATTACGAAGTGTGCTGCTCTGCTAGCAGTTACTAGAAACCATGCTGTAGCTTGGTTAGAGTATATGGGTTTAGCTAAATAGGATTTGCGGATCAAAGAGATTTGGCTAGCTTTATTTAAGGGATCATAACAGTCTCAGGTACAGAAAGTCCATTTAAAAGTGTTTGTTTTTAATACTTTTAATTCATAGCTTATTCCCTTGCTTATCCTTTTTCCATAGGCAGAAATGGTTCATGCAGCTTTCCAAGCTCAGAGGGCATTTCTTTGGTTGACCTCACGTTATCAAGAGCCCCACCAGGTAAGAAATGTTGTGGTCCCCTGAAATGTTAAAGTTTTGTTGGCTGGTTTCTAATGAAATGTTAATGTTTTGTTGGCTGGTTTCTAAAAATGGGAAGTTGGCATGTTGTAAAGCAAAACAAAATCAGGCTTTTGGTTCATTTTATTTTAAAAAAGTCTGGGTGCCTAAACTTATTTAAAAAATAAAAATGATTGGCTCTTGTAACGCAGTGGTTTGGTTGGATGTATGCCCAGAATAAAAGACCATACCCTTGAGAATGGCAGATGAATTTCTGCCGGCGGATGTAGGAGTCCTATAAATAAAGTTACTTTTCCCAATCTTGGTTAAATATCTGGAAATATCTCAAAATTTGTTTTAATTCTCTAGTTAATTGTTTTGATAAAGTTGTGAAGTAAGAAACTTTCATTAAATGACAACTTAATTGCATATAAAACTGACATCTTAGGCATCAGTGAATTGAGAAGAATTGGATCATTCAATCAGAAAATAAGGCTGTTTATTACACATACATATATGAAAAACAAAACAGGAATTAGTTGCTTTTATAATTAAAAAGTTTATAGCAAGAACAATGATTGACTAGAGTGCAATCAGTGACCATAATCCATTAGACTTTATGGACATCCCTTTAATATAGTGACTGTCCACTTATGCTCCAACCACTAATGCAGAAGAGGAAGTTGATGGGTTTTGTGATCAAGTTCAATTTGAAATTTATTTATTTATTTATTTATTTAATTTATATCCCGCCCTACTCCTTGCGGACTCAGGGCGGCTAACAACCAGATAAAAACACTAATCCCCAAAAACACAGATTAAAAACATAATTAAAAACAAATATTAGTAATTTGGTCTAGTTAATTTAAAAATTGCTTTAAAACCCCCATTAAAATTTTCCCCTAGGCCAGTCCTGCAAGTTGGAATAACCATGTCTTAAGGGCACGGCGGAAGGAAGGGAGATCAGGGATCACCCTGATCTCTGGGGGTAGCTCATTCCAGAGGGTGGGAGCTCCCACAGAGAAGGCCCTCCCCCTTGGGGTCGCCAGCCGGCACTGTCTGGCCGACGGCACCCTGAGGAGACCCACCCTGTGGGAGCGTACAGGCCGATGGGAGGTAATCTGC